TTTCCCCCTCCCCTCCCCTCCGTCCCACTTTCGAGATCCTTACCAGCAGGTTGTACCGCAATCCTGCGTCATCCTGTTGCGGCTGTACGACATCTTTTTTGCCGCCGGCATCCTCTTTGCCCCTTTCGCTGCTGTTGTGCACTCCGGAGCCCGGGGGGTCGGAGGTGGCGTCGCCGCCGGGGCTGGCGGCACCGCCGCCGCCAGCCTTGGCAGCAATGTCGGCGCCGCCGCTGTCACCACCGCCATCGCCGCCGCCGGGCCCCCCGCCACCACTCGCACCCCCCGACATCACTGGCCTCGGCCACAGCCACGGCTGCGGCTGCGGCTGCGTGTGGTCTTGCGGTACTTTCGGATCGAATGCCGTCGACGGATAGTTCTTCGCCACGGAGGGCCGCTGCTGCCCGGCGGAAGGTCCCGGTGGGTATTTGGCGGCATAAGGCCCCCCCTGGTGCGGCGTCAGGAGACTCTCCCGGGATGCTGTGGGCTTGGGCCCCAGGTCGGGAACGACCTCCAGGAAAATGGATACGCCGCCAAGGAGCGGCAGGCCGACAGAGAACGAGCCGGCGGTGGAGAGTGGCGCCGTGCGGTCGGTGTCGTACGATAAAGATGATAGCGGCCACGGCAGTGGCAAGTCAGCAGCGCCGGGAGGGTTTGGGTCCAAGCTGTCCTCCATGTGCGAGCCGCCGCCGCCGTCAGCGCCGCTCCCGGGACGCAGTGGCGGCGGCGGTGGCGCCGTGCCGCCCGCCACATCCCCGACGTCGGAGGCTTCGGCCCCGTGTGTTAACCTCGCGCCGTACAACGTCCGCCGGGCCGCCTTTGCGAGTCCATTGGAGGCGGCGGCCTCGCGGGGGAAGTCAGGGGAGGTGGCGGTGTTGCGTCCCGATTCCCGGTGGCCTGATGGCCCTAAACCACCGTGGCTGCTGCCGGGCGCGCCGACTGCGGCTGCGGCTGCGGCTGCGGCTGTATTCGCAGTCGATGGCCCCCCCAGCTCCTGTGGCGGTGATGGCGCCCTGCTCGCAGCGGCCGTGGTGGTGGCGGTGGTGGTGGCGGTGGTGCGGCCACGTAGCTGTGCTGCGTGCGCCTGGTGAACTTGCTGCGATGGAGCGAGGTGCGCGACCATGACTACGAATGTCAGAAGACACAGAATCGTTTGTTGGTTTCGTAATATCGTCATCTGGCTATTATGTGCCACATCGCGTCGTTTATTTTTCGCTAAACTGTGCTGCGTGCTGCTGCTGCTGCTGTCGCGCTGGAAATAGTATCAATAGAACCTCGGTACTCCTTTGGGCATTCAAACGCGCGCGCGCCACAGCGCATGCGATATCGTTGCTCCTTTTCTTTTCTGGACTATGCGTTCTTGTGGGGAGCAGAAGGAGCGACGCACCGGCTGTTAGTCGTCTCAGCCAAGAAGAGGTCTTTCAGGTGCTCTGTCATATGAACCACCTAACCGAAAGACGCCCGAACAAAGTCCTCAACCCCCTTTGTCACCCTTGATAATAAGGAAGGTTGAGAAAAGGTAAATCAATTATACCGTTGGGCTCGTGGCGGAATGGGATCAAGCTTGACCTTGCAGTCGAGGCCCGTGGGTCATTAATTCGCCTTTCAGGAAAAAGCTTAGCTGTCATTTGATACTGCCAATTTCTACGGGCTATTCATGTCACTCTTCTAAACAATATACTTGAAAAGTCCAAGCTACGTGTACAGTGCCATTGGAAATTTCAAACTTGTCGCTGCTGGGGGCTCCGGAGCTCGCTTCGGTAAAGCCATTTCCGTATCACCACCGGCACTTCACCACCATTCCTGTTCCCTCATCGCGGCTCCGAAGATCATTCAAACATACACACATACACACACACGCACATCAGCTACATACCCCCCAGGGTCCAGCGGGTCCCACTAATTCCGTAGGTTCAGGGGGGCGGGCAGGACAGCTCCCAGGTACCCGTCCCATGCATGTACGTG